ATGCAAGATAGAATAGAGAAGAAGAACAAGAACACACGATGATTAATTTTCAAATGCACACTATATTCAATATAGTCTGGTACACAAGATCTTGATAATGCACAATTATCTCTTGTTTTCTCTCTCTAAAACATGTTCTATGATAATGGCAGCCCTAAGAACGTCCCACTCCTTCACTACTCCCTCTTTTCCACGCCTTTTATACACTATATATATATATATATATATATATATATATATATATATATATATATATATATATATATACAAAACCCAAACCCAATACCCAATACCTTGACCGAAATCACATGTGATTTCGGTCCAAACAACAAATGAACTTAAGGGGATTTCGGCCCTAGACCGAAAACTACATAATGCCTAGAAGAGCAAAGTATAAACCATAAATTTAGACCTAACAATCTCCCCCTTGGTTTATAGCTTTCTTTTCTTATGACCTAACAAACTCCCCCTGAGTTTGTAGCTTTCTTTTCTTTTTAATCTTCGCTTTGTGCTTAGCTTCAACCTTTATCTTCGATTTCTTCACAACTTCAAGATGAACATATGAATGTCTGAATGAATGAATTCATCTTGAATAGTTGGACTTTTCTTCAAAAATTTGACTTTAAACGCACATTGGGAGTGGAGGCTTCCTGTAAGGATTCTTGAAAATCAGCACTTTCAGCTTTGAGAATCTTCTGAGAAAATAACAAAGATTCCAATTCTTCTGGATCACTTCAGCAGGTTCATAGATAACAGCAAATTGATTGAGGAGGCTTCAATGCAATCTATCCCATAACTTCAAGTACAATTTCACCTTGCTTCTGGGGTTGAAAGATTGAATGTTGAAAAATAATCTTCACTTCTTGTTCCACAGTTGTTCAAGGATGTAACTTTGCTCAGAAAGTTCTGATACAGTCCCCTTGAGTCTCTTCTTCCTTTGAATTCTCCTTGAGTCTCTCCTTCCTTTGAGTTCTCGTTTTAAGACAAATGAAATTTTGAGATAAAAACAAAACTAAAAGTAAACTTAGCACACAATAGAAATCACTAAGAAGTAAAAAATAAAAATAAAAATAAAATACACTCAAAAGTAAAACAAATTTTTTTTTTTTGGATTTTTGATTTTTCTGAAAAAGAAATAAAAACAGAAATAAACATATTTTTGTATTTTTTAATTTTTTGATTTTTGTTTAATTTTTTGATTTTTTTAATTCTCCCCCCTTAAATTTGTGCATAGAGGAAAACTATGAACAAATTTAACAAAAACAATAATAATAACTAAATTTAAGACTTTTGGGATCAAAGTTGTCAAACAATTCAATATTGTTTATCAGCACACGCCTGCATGTATAGCTCTGGTCAATCATCGGTATTGTGGTCCACTTCAACACAAAGGATATTGACAAGTTGGACAAATTATAAATGACAAGACATTGCACCTATATTCCTAAATGGACCATTTAGCTGACGACGACCAAGAGTATTGTTGTCCACTTAAATTCAGCAGCTAGATCTACAGACAGCCTTTTAAATGGTTCAATTTTAGATGTACTAGAACGTGTTCCCCACTTCCCGACATACCCCAACAATCAAGAAATTCCAAAGAACTCCTTACTTTAGGTGAGTGCTTAATTATTTGAGAGAGAAGATAGATATAGAGATGGATATGTTGTATCCAGGTCGGATGTCTTCCAATCACGCAGAGGGAACAACATATGAATAACATAGATAAATGGTTAGAGAGATAGTAGGGTGCATATGCTGTGTTCCAGGTCGAATCTTTTCCAATCACGCAGAGGAGACAATATATGGCTAACAGACATAAAGAATTGCATGGAGAAGGAGATGCATAGAGATAGAGTTTCATATGTTGCATTCCAGGTCGGATATGTTCCAATCGAGCAAAGGAGGCAACATATGAATGACAGATAGAAAGCAAGAAAATAATTTTCTACAGACCTACTTTATCAGAACCCCCCAGTCGCCCTATCAGTACCGGAATTAAGGAAATGAGTCCTTACATCAAGGAAATGTTGAGCCACAGTTCTAGATACATATGACTTTAGTGTATCCCGCAGGATCTCTTGTTTATCTCACTGCTCAATCTACCCGAGCGTCGTATGCGCAGTCCAAATGAAACTATCTAAGCACACTGTCAAGTCCTTTCATTGTCAATCTATGTCTAGTCCTTTTGAATCCTTTGTGCCTACCAACGCATTGAGCACAGAGTCTAGACAATTCAGCTTCAGAACCTTACACTTGTTTAAACTGCCCGTTATCACTCATTCTTGATATAACTTCCCAAAAACACTTACTGAAGAAAGACATGTTCTTGGAATTTTTTTAAGTTTTATGATTTTTTTTAAAATTTTGGTTTTTCTTATTTTATTATTATTATTATTATTATTATTATTATTATTATTATTATTATTATTATTATTATTATTATTTATTTTGATTTCTCCCCCTTAGTTTGGGTACGGGGAAGAAAGAAAATAAATGCGCAAATGTAAAAATTTGTCTTCAAATCGAATCATTTTAATAAAACTCAGGAGTATCGAGAAGAAAACTCAAACCTTAATTCACCAATTGAAGTTGCATCCAGATGATCTAAGAACAACACGCAAATGCAGCAACACATCCAGCCTTAGTTGTGTCTCAAATCCGAAACAGAACCAAAAATTCTTCACATCGTTAAGTACAATCCCCATTTGTGATCCTCTTCTTTCTTCCTTCCCACAAAGGACACATACTCTCAAATAAAGTTCTGAATGTTGTACAGTTGAGATATGCCTCCTATCATGTGCCAGGAATAGCCACTATCAACAAACCGGAGTCTGATGATATTCCTCCATAGCTGCTCCAGCACAGAGTGCGGGATTGATTGGTCTTTGGAACCCAGTCCATTTTGAAGCTGGGTTGACCTTTATCATCTATGCAAGGTACTCTCGCCCATGACATATCCTGTTTATCAGACACAGAAGATGAAGAAATGTTAGAATCATTAGATGATTTGGAAGTGTGAACCTTTGGAACCCATCTGTAGTCGGTTTTAACCCATTTCTTGTTTGATCGGATGGATGCCTTCTCACTTGCTTTAGAACTTGAAGCCGATCTCCGAGATGACTTCGAATTAACTGATCTTCGTTTAACTGAACCATCTCGTGAATTGGGATTCTTGGCCGACATTCCCTTCTTGTCCTTGGGAGTTGTATTCTTGGCCTTTTTCGCATTCCAGTCACCATTGCGCGATTCTAACCTCGAAGGGTTTCTTTTGGAGAATCTTCCTCTTTCGCGTTCTGCCAACCTTGTGCATAGTAGGGAACATATGCACGATTTGGACAATTTCTGGCAATGTGTCCAGGTGTTCCATAGTGGAAACAAGTCTATTTCTTCACGTAGAAGTTGTTTCCGCCTGCCCTTGGTAGCATGCACATGCCTTGTTTCTGATTGTTCCCACATGCACACTTGCAGCAAACCGTCTGTTTCGCTTGTTTTGGTGACTTGTATTTACCAACACCAGGTTTATTAGAAGTAACTGAATTAGAAGCAACAGATTCAGATTTCAAAGAGACATTGGTTTGACAATGAGTAGAATTAACAGAACTAGAATTAATTATGTTCTCCTTGTTCTCATCTTCCATTACTTTACCTGCACATGAAGTAGAAGAATTAGTATCGCTCACCTCAATATTGCTCGAGTTTTCTGTCTATATTCTTATTGATTCATCTCTTTTCCTTGTGTTTAATCAAAATTGTTCACTGATTCATCAAGGCAAGTGAATTGCGATAGCTATACGTCTGTTCTAACTCGATTTGGTTGAAGTTTTTGCAGGTTTTAAGTGCTAACTGTCGATTTTGACGGAAGTTCTTCGTCGATTTGGAGTTTACGATTTCGGCCGAAAACCCAAAATTCAAGGGTTTTTGATTTTCTGTGGAACAATTTCGGCCGAAAACCCAAATTCAAGGGTTTTAGGTCTCATCTTGATTTTCCATAGACTAATGTTGTTCTTACAAGTGAACTTGTCGATCCTGATCGTCTGTGGATGCATTTCTCTTAAATTTTGAAAATAATCGTTAATTATTGATTCAAAACTGGTCACCATGTACAATCAAACAACAAATCGACTTCGAAGAATCAATACAGTCGGTAGCTTCAAATTGGTCTCCAAGAATCAAAGAATCCAAAATCAATTGATTGTAATGCAGTCGCATGATCGATACTTTCAATTGAGAATTCTCCTTCTTCATATTCAATCAGCTCCACCTTGAATCACACACCATAAATTGCGATTCATCAAACAAGATAACAAACAAAAGACTCGATAAATCAATTCCAAGACAAAATCTATTTAGAGAAAATCAAAAACGATTATACGAGCAGAATCATAAAATCAATCAATTGGAGAACAAAACCCTAGAATCGATTAATGAAGTCAATATCGATTAACTTGTAAGATGACGAAGAATCACTTATCGTGTCATAACCTCATGCTCTGATACCAATTTGTATGAATCTATAAGAATATGAGAAGAGAATAGAAAAAATGTAATGCAAATTTTATTCATCGTAATGAGAGTTATTCCGAAATTAGGAACCCTCTCTTATTTATAGTAACATACAATTCCACCGGAAAAAGACAAAACTACCCTTATAAAGCCACATATTAAACTAACATATTCTATTGAAGAAATACATAAGACGGTCTCAAAACCTTAGCCATATTGGTCTCTCGTTCGTCTATCAATTTGTAAACATACATGTTTGCTAAAACATGCATTGTTCTAAAAAAAATCCTAAGGTATTAAAAAGTTTGTAATTTAATGTCAACATCTCAATATGTGGACCCAATTTTTGCACTTTAACTTAATTAATCCAAACTACGGATTCATACTTTAACTTAATTAATCCAAACTACGGATTCATACTTTAACTTAATTAATCCAAACTGCGGATTCATATTTTGACTAAAATGAATGAAAAATAAGATAATTGCTATAATTATATTAAAAATATCGTTGGGTTTTAGATGAACACAAAATTACAACTGAACGTATAAATGTTATAACCGAAAACCGAAATCCTTTTCTTTAGATCATGTTACATTCGAGCTTATCAATATTTGTTGACATATTTGCAATCAACACGAATTTCTCCGTCGTCTTGGGAAGTTAAGTCCAGAATGCTTGAAAGCTTCACCATTGACACACCAAATTGGTTCTTGAAGAGTGTGGGTTCGAATGACAAACCATTGGCAACAGGTTTAGTCCTTGAGTCATGATATAGCAATTGGTCTGTCGACAAGAGTCCCATGTTCTTCTTAAGATTCTGGTAATATTGCGTGTCAAATGTGTTTGGTGTTTCGCCATCAAGATTCACGTTTTCAGATGCCCACCTGCATTTTCTCCTCAAGTAGTTCAAATACTTCGGATCCAAAGATGGGTCGGGTTTCTTTGTTCCTTTGTAATCGTATAACCGATGTTGCACAGATTCACATGTCGTCTTCCCAATCGTATGAGCTCCTGATAATCAAATATTTCACATGATATAACTTTAAGAGACAAAAGATATGTAATCCATTACTATAATGTTCCATTTTTGAGCAATGATATGCAACCATTGCTAATATGCTCATTTTCTTGTATAGTAAAATCAAAGTAAAAAAGTTAATTAACTACCTGAGAGGACAACCAAATCGAGCACGTTGAGACCCTTGGACTGGAAAAACTCGATAAGATCGGTAACACTTTCAGAGCCCTTGGGTACTATCATGGCTTCTTTGGCAAGTGAAACACGGCCATCTTTCCTACCATAAGGGATCGTCCAATATGGTCCACTGGCCAAAACTGTGGCATCTCGAGCCACAGTGGTCAAGATATCAGCACATGACACGGTTTTCGGGCATTTCTTCTCAATCTCAGCTTTTATGTCATCTATCACTTCAAACCCTCTTAAAGACTTGCTCATATTCGATGTTTTTTCGCTTCCTTCATGATCCAAAAGAATGGATGCATCACATCCCTACAACAAAACAATTGCATCATCATCATATGGTACTTCAGTATTTCAAGATATCGAACAATAAAGATATGTGTTGATTGAAAATTAGACAGATATATACCCGAACAACACAATCGTGGTAATGGAGTCTTAGGAAACTAGGAGCAAGGGTGGGGTCCTTAGCAACCCATTCCTTGACCTTTCTGTAGATGATGCCTTCAAGGTCCGGACAACTCTCATGGTACAAGGAGTAGGAGAGATCATCTTCTAAAGCGGAGAGGTCTGACAGGCATGGTACTTTGAGACTTGTTGACGAGTAATCATCGGCCAAACATGACACTGAAAACAAGATCAGGAGGATGGTGATTATGAAGCTAGAAACATTCATGGTGTATAGGTTATGGTTCATGTTGTATAATGATATGTGAGTATGTGTATATATAGATATAAATATTAGATAACAATTTGGTGAAATCGTAGTACGTGAGGCGCACTCTTATTGCTACGACGTGCAACACAAATATCTCTAAGATTCTATTGGTTCCAATTTCACATATTCGCATTTTTATTTTAGTGGGAGGATTCAAGATAAGATGTAAAAAACATTGGCGTAAATAAAAGGGACATCAATGCAGCATCGTTTTCATGAAATAATGAAATTAGTTAGTAGAACCAATTTTTAGTGCAAAAGCCATAAGAAAACATTTATTTCCCATCTTTACGAAAAAAGTCATTAGGATAAGAAATATTACCACGAGAGGCAGAGCATTACATAGTTTTGACTTTCAAATTTAAGATTTTTGGTCACTTTCTCTCCCTCAACCGGTTTGACTTTTGAATATAATTATTTTCTTATGACGAAGAAAATTATTGTTAGGCAAAAAAACTTTTATTAACTATTATTATTATTATTATTATTATTATTATACATTCACATCCCACCCAAATCCTGTTCCCCTCTTTGTCACTGCCATCTCCTTCTTTTGCCTTTCCCCGTACAACCACCACCATCACCACCTTGATCATATATTTTAGCGATGATCCAGTTTCAAAGAGTTATCAACATCCCTTACCAACAGTTGACAACTACCATCGTTGTATCTCTTTTTTTATATGCCTCACTAGTGCACAATGGTAGTCTGGGGCTTGCGGTAGGGGTGAGCATTTGGATCGGATCGGACCGGAACCGGAACCGATTTAGGAGGAATGAATGAACCGATAACTTGACCGTTAAGCACAAGTAATAATACATAATGTAACTTTTGAATTCATCTTGATTATAAAACAACCAACGAAAAACATAAATCAAAATCATATTACAAAACCTAAATCAGTTGTGGCTATCAACAATTTAAGGAAAGTATATGTTCCGAATTCTAGCACAATTTTACAGCAAAGGTATTTTAGGAAACATTCATTTTATGCACTTTTGTATTAGAGTATGAGTCTAGTTTTATTAGTATAAACTAGACGATATTTCGTTCGTTGCGCAGTTATAATTAAAATATTGATGAATATATGTTATTAAAATAAGTATATATTCTTGTTAATAGCTTTAAATTAATAATAATCTTACATTAATTTATTATAAAATATTCTAAGTGTTTTAAATAAATGATAAACATTATCAAACATGGGTGTATGAAATTACTTTCGTAATGGATTTATGAATATCAAATAATAGATCTCATATTATTTTATTTAAAGTCGTATAATCTCACTAGTCACTATCTGTGTAAATAAAAATAAACACAATTTAGATAGACATATTTTATGTGATATTATTTCAATGAAATATATGTATAGGTTGTGTGTGAATTTGAAATTATAATGTATATTTTATATTGAACATTTTACTTATACCTTTATTATTTTTAATGAATTTTAAAACGATCTTTTGATAAATATTTTATATTTAATATTATATTTAAAGTTTTAATATTTTTAATTTATTTTAAACTATCTATTTTGAGAAAACAAATATTTTTATAAAAAGTAAATTTAAAAAAACTTTTTTTCCGTTAAATTAACATTTTATTTAGTTCTTATATTTAAACTTTCTAACTATTTAGAAAAAATAGGTTTTAAATATATTATAAAAAGTGTGTTTTGAATTTAGCATCATATTTAGATTAGCAAACTAACTATATTATAGTGAGAATGAAGAATTAATATTGAAATTACAATAATATTGGATTTAATATATTAAATTAAAAATAAGTTGAAAAGTTGGGGGTTTCAAATGAATATGGTTGAAAAAAAATGTATCTATTATAAGTATACTAGGCGAATACTCAAGCGTTACGCAAAATACAACAATATATTTGAAATCTTTACAAATATATGTTTTATAAATATATCAATGACGTTGTTGTTAACTCTTTTATAATAAATCTTATAATAAGTTAGTATAAACATTGTTTGTTTTGAATTATATGATAATATAAACATCTATTAAAATTCTTTAATCTCATTTATCTGAATGGCCTCTACTTGCGGGTTACTCATGAATAAAATTAAATATAATATATGATTTAATGATATTTATAGTTGTTGTTATGATTAATTAATTTTAAAAAGTTTATTTTGTTTAAAATTTTCGATCATTATAATTATTTAAAACATCAAACATTGTTTTTGCTTTTGTATATAATGTTTACTTTTAACTATTGTTGTTGCAAGTTATTTAAAACAACATATTTGGAAACTTTTAATTATTTTAATTCGGTTTCAAAATTTAACTTTTTAAAAAAAAAAATTGATTAATATTGTTAATTTCTTTGATTGTAATTATTTAAAACAACAAATATTGTTTTTAGATTTAAAGATAACATTAAAAAAATTTATATAATAATAATTTTAACTATTCTTATTGTATGTTATTTTTAAGCTACTAATTTGAAAATTCTTAATGATTATAAAAAATAGTTTCATAGTTTTTTTTTTCTGTTAATTTAGGATTACAATTTAGGTTTAACACTATAACTTATAACTTTTAATATTTATAAAATAGTCTCTCAAATTTTTTCAAACTTAACTGAAATTTTGATTTAAATTAATCGTTTAACATTATATTGAAATTAATAATTTAACTATTTTATATAAAATCATAATTTATACAAAAGTTGTGACTTTAAAATTACAATTGCTCACGTACGACAAAATATCTAAAATAATAAATTAACTATAATATGTTAAAAAGTTAAAGTCATAATTTTATAAATAGAAGTAAAATATGATATTTTAATATTGTAGTTTAGTTAATTTATGATTAGAATTTTGTTTTTGTATTAATTTAACATTATTAACCAATTTATAATAATTATTAAAAAGAAATTGAAAAGTCATTGAGGTTTCAAATGCATGTGGTGCAAGTAAAAATGTTTCTTTTATAAGTATACTAGGCGAATCCCCGCGCGTTGCGCGAGAATAGAATTATATAGTTAAAATAATAACTTTTACCAAATTATTATTTAATATTTCTACTTTGAAACAAAATGTTAGTAGTAAAACAAACATATAGTTAACATATTAGTTTTATTAAATATTATAGTTTAATTTTTAAGTCATTGTGATATATACAATTATTTGATAATTTTATTAACCGTTTAAAATTGTGTAAATTATATATATCAAATGAATGATAATATAACGGGTAACAAAACGTATGAACAAAAATATAAACTGCAACTTTTAGTAACATAAAAATAGAAAAACATCTATTATAACATTTGTATTAAAAAAGATATATATACAACGAATAATAAAAAATATGAAAAATAAACACTATAACTTTTAATAACATAAAAACACTAAAACATCTATTATAACATTTATATTAACTCTTCATATTTAAATCACAAATCTCTTCAAATACATTAATGTTTTTAATGAGCAAAACTTTACAACCTTATAAAAGAAAGGAAAATAAAAAGTTATTAGTGATTACTAATTAATAATCATAAGTTAAAAACTCTTGAGTTGTAAGTAATAAATATACATAAATTAGAAAACTCTTGAGTTGTAGTGTGAGTTTCAAATGAATGCGGTATTTGGAAATGTATTATTATTATTATTATTATTATTATTATTATTATTATTATTATTATTATTGTTGTTGTTGTTGTTGTTGTTATTATTATTATTATTATTATATTCGTCTAAATAATTGGTTTTGATGCATCATTTTAATCTCTTCAATTATTAAACATAAAGATATTTAATTATAAATTTATAACATACATAAGTGCATATACATGTTAAACAAATCACATATAATATATATATTTTCGTAAATGTCATATGCAATTCTTGTCGTAGTAATATGGATAAATTACTTTCATATGAAGAACATATCATGATAAGTCTATCATAATTACTTATCAAATGTTCAAAATTATGTTATCTTTTAAATATTGTCTTTTAAATATGTTGTGTAGGATAACCCAACAAAAAAATAATAGAAAATAAACATAATCAAAATAGAAAAACTACAATCAAATAAATAAGAGCATTGGGTGGTTGAATATATAAATAAAGATGTTACATAAACATACATTTAAATCAAAAGAAAAAACTAACATTCGTCAACTTTGTTCAAACAAAAAAACCTATATCCATTTTATGAATCTTCTTTCTTCATTTAACACCATTCAACCATAGAAACTTGATGACAATTCTTCACTAACCCGCAATCAAAATATTTTTCTTGAAAAAAAAGAATCAGAAAGATATTCCAAGCAAAACATTGATGTTTGGAGAGTCACATTCAAGATTGAGTAATACACACAAATCACATATAAAGATTAAATGAGAAACTGAATATAAAGAAAGAATAGAAAAGCTTCATTTGTTTTGGTTGAAAGAAAAAATCATATTACAATTACCATCGATGCGACATAACCCATTTCTTGAAATCATCATATTTGGATCGTGAATGCTTCAACCATATGAAAACTTTTGAATCACAATATCTTCAAATCCTTCTTACATGTAAGATTTTATATGACATAAAAGACAGAAAAGATTGACCTTTTTATAGTAAACTTTGCACTAAATGCTAATTAAACATAATATAAGTTATACAACTTTTGAGTGTTAAATCATAATTAAGAAAACTTTTGAGTTGCATTAGTTAAAAAAGGGGGTTTCAAATGAATATGGTTTGAGGAAGTTAAAAAATGGGGGTTTCAAATACATGAGATTCAAGAAAAAATGCTAGCTTTATAAGTATGTATGACTAGATGAATATCCGTGCGTTGCGCAGAATAAAATTATACGGTTAAATTTTTGGTAATCATACGTTATTGAAAATATTTATATCATTTTTATTAATTATAAAATAATAATAATTACATTTAGTTGATGAGAAATTATAATTAATTTGAACAATAAATAATATAACACTTATTAAAAATCAAATCATTTAATGGTCTCTGCTCACGCTTTATGTACGCATAAAATTAGTTGTGGTGACTTAATAAGACATATGGTATATATGATGAATAAATTATTGGCCCATATTTAAATTATCACACTACTCCAGGGCATGATGCATAACTTTATATTTGCATCTAGAGATTATTCGGGCATGGAACCCTCGTTAAGGAAGTTCTTTTTTCAGAAAAAAAAAATCGTTATAGTACTCACTATTTTAATTAACTATTGTTATAATTTATTAAAATTTAAATTTCTTTGATGATGTTTTATTTTCATCATGAATATTATTAAATTATCAACCACTGTTTGTAATGTAACATAATTTATTTTATAATTTCATGTTATTTTTAAATATTATTATTATTATTATTATAAATTAATTTAAAAACAACTTAATTGCATTTTAGTTATTACATTTATCGTATTTAGTAATTTCCTTTCGACTATTTTAAAAAACATATGTTGGATTTTTATTACTTTAGTTTTTAAACTTTACATTTTGTTTTTAAGTTTGTTTGATATATTAATTTAGATTATGCATTTAACATTATATTGAAGTCAACAAATTTAGTATATCATATTAACAATTCAAGAAGTCTTCAACTTCTGATAATGTTTATAATTAACAACATATTTAAGTTAATAAATTAAATATATTATGTGGAAATATGAAGAGTTAGGAGTTTCAAAATGATGTTGTAAAAGAAAAAACGTTTCCTGGATTATTCAAGAAGTCTTTCATTTATGATAATGTTTATAAGTAACAACATATTTAAGTTAATAAATTAAGTAAATTATATGGAAATATGAAGAGTTGGGAGTTTCAAATTGATGTGGTGAAAGGAAAAAATGATTCCTTTATAGTATAGTATGATATTATATGATGATATGATGATATGATATGATTATCAACCACTGTTTGTAATGTAACATAATTTAATTTATAACTTTATGTAATTTTTAATTATTATTATAAATTAATTTGAAAACAACTTAATTGAGTTTTAGTTATTATAAAAAATAGTTTTTTGGACATCATTTAGTTAATTCGATTTTTAGATTTAAGATTTTTATATTTATCGTATCTAATATTTTCCTTTTAACTATTTTAAAAAATATACGTTGAATTTTTAAAACTTTATTTGATATTTTAGTTTAGGTTTTAATTTTTACACTATATTTTAAGTTTATTTAATATATTAATTTAGGTTATGTATTTAACAATATATTGAAGTCAACAAATTTAGTATATCATATTGATAATTCAAGAGGTCTTTCATTTATGATAATGTTTATAAGTAACAACATATTTAAGTTAATAAATTAAGTAAATCATATGGAAATATGAAGAGTTGGGAGTTTCAAATTGATGTGTTGAAAGAAAAAATGTTTCCTTTATAGTATAGTATGATATGATGATATAGATATAGATACATAGATATAAATATAGATATAGATATAGATATGGATAAGGTTAAAGATTAGGGTATTTAAATTGAGTTTTTCCAGCAATAAAAGCATTCATTAGCAAGTAAATTGAGCCTAGGGCTCGTGAAGATGTAGGGCGGCCGGTTTGAGAGTCGCTTTTAAGAAAATTGTAGCCCTTTGATGCAGGGTAGACGCAGTGGGAACCATGTTTGGTTTAAGGGGGTATGGATTGTTTTTTAACGCGGGTTGAAGCATCTCAACAGCAGCTCTGATTTCTCTTGATCGGGCTTGTTCTAAGGTAGAGAGAGACTAACCGCAGGCATGGAATAAACGGACGGGAAGACGTCAAAGCGGGTGGCTTTGATTCGATTTGTTTTGCAGGTGACGGAAGACGGTAAAGGTTGTCGTGACCTTGTCTTGTTGTTTGGTGGAAAATTTCTCTTGGTTCAAGTTTGATTAAAAATGTCAGGGTTGTCAATAGAGAGAATAGGATGTCGATGGTTAAAGAAGGATGTTCAATGTTGTTTCAAGTTCCAGTTTGGACTCCATCGAATAATCTGGTGTGGGAAATCAATGTCAAGGCGATTATGGATGCACAAGACATATGTGAGACGGTTAAATCGAGGGTGTTTGGTGGAAGAAAATCTAGGAATATGATTGATCGGCAAATGTATGGCTGTAAAGACAAGAAGGCAATGGACAAACAACACGGTGTGAACATTATGGCGTTGGAGTTCAAATCGGATGGCTTTGGATGTGGCCGGGGAGAGGTCGTGAATCTGGGAGAAGTCTAGATTGTAATGAACGTATCTAACGGGATGTCATGTTACATGTTATGTATGTTGTGAACAATCAAAAGGGTATGGAGGACTTTCAATGTGCCTGAGATGGAGGTCGGTGTTCGGGAAAGGTCAAGAATCGAGAGAGTTCGAAAAGACGAGATGAAGAAGTTTCTAAGAATGAAGATGTGTGACATTCTGAATTAGGGGGGAAAATGTTGGATAATTCAGAATCCTAGGACAATTTTACAACAGGGGTATTTTAGCAAACATTCATTTTATGTAGTTTTTGTGTTAGAGTAGAAGTCTAGTTTTATTAGCATAAATAAGGTTAAAGTTTAGGATGTTTAAGTTGAGTTTTTCCAGAAATAAAAGCATTCGTTACCAAGTGATATAAAAGTTTTTCTTTCCTATTATTCCTCCGTTTTTTCGTGCTGCTCATTTTTTTCCTTGGGCATCAAGGTATTACCTGGTTTTGTACCTTACAGTATCTACATCCAAGAAAAATTGCAAATTGGATTTAAAGTGTGAAATCAATAATGACTTGAGCTCCTAAAATGTGGGAAATTATGTTTGAAAGTATGAAAACAATAGTGACTCAACTCATGAAATAGTAAAGGTATGATTGAAAATATGAAAGCAATAGTGACTCAAACTCATGAAATAGTAGAAACTTATAAACTTGTTGATGAAGAGACATATATAAAGATCAAAAGTGGAGTTACTTGTCTAGCACACTATGAACTTGACATATTTTGACTTTATCACTACTACAATTATACGGTAACATATATTCGCTAAAGTAACTAGTACGAGCATACACCTACAATGTGAAACCATACACATTTAATAAGGCATTAAGTAGTATGGGTTCCTTTATTGAGTTTTTTTTAAAGATTGCATGTATCTATAACTTACAATTTAGGAATTAATATATTGTTTTTTAGAAAAATAATAAAATAACAAATTTTTCAAAATAATTTTTTACAAGAGTGACGTTGAGACATCAAAACTAGTACATGAATTTTCACCTCAATAATCATGATTCAATATTTTATGTACATAGTTGATCAAGTTATTGGTCATTCGAACAAAAGTTTGAGCATTACAAACAGTATAAACTATTAAGACATGTTTGATTTCTTATTCACAATAGAAAAGTTGAAGTCACTAAATACTAATGAACTTAACGCAAGTTGCAAAAATATTGAAAACATGTTACAAAATGGTCATATCTCAAATATCGGTGGTGATGATTTATTTAACGAACCGGAATTATTACAAAATATTACCAACTGAATGTAATACAACTAATAAAATACTAAATTTTTTATAAAGTATTAACATTTTTTTAGCTTCTTATCTAGAATAAATAATACTGTTGATTGTTTTCATTACAATTGCATCAGCAGAAAGAAACTTTTCAAAAGTAAAACTTCTAAAATATTATATGTGATCTACCATATCTCCAGAAATATTAAACTTGTAGATTTGATTTTGATTGAGAATGAGTTACTTGAAAATATAGATTATGAAAGTGAACTAGATGGATTTAATTCTAAAAAGGGCAAATGTCATATTAGCTCATCGAACTTTTCGTGTTTTTTTTTAAAGGTCACTAAACTATTTTTTTTTGCACATTAAAGGAATATACTTTCATTTGACTGTTTTAAAATACCCTTTTGTTACCTTTTACCAGGTTGAAAGGTAATATACATGCCAAGAGGGAAAATGTCGGTGACACGCCATTTAATGAAATGGCCACGTGTGGTACACTTATATTAATTTGTTATAAAATAAATCGTTTGCGTTATACAATCCCCTCCCCCTCATTGAAGAAACCCCTGCTCATTGAAGAAAACCCTCGTCCCACCATAGTAACTGAAGATCGATGGCTATATTCCTCTCAATCAAAGTTCATTTCCAAGGTGTGTTCATCAACAAACTTTTTGCTATTCTGATGGTGTTCATCTTGTGTTCGAGAAAGTCGATTTTGTTGGTATGTCATATAATGAGTTTGTGGGTTTTCTTGAACGATTCACACAAGAGAAGTGTAAAAAACTTTATTATTGTCAACCCGATTTACAAATCACAGAAGGTTTAACCTTGATTTCGAATGAACTTCAATATCAAGAATTTATAGACATTGCTTATCAATGTGGAGGACAAGTTCCTGTTTACATGGACCATTTTGGTACTACTGTGCACGTAAATAAGGCAAATGAAAATGAAAATGAGGATAATTGTTCTGTGAAGTCAAACATGTCAATCGAAGGGGAAGAAGGTATTGACCTAACTGACTTCATGAGTCCACAAGAAAGCAACATGGAAGGAGTAATCTATGAAGGAGTAAGTCAGGCAAATAGAAATGAGGAGGTCACAGAAGGTGATCCAAAAGATGATGAAGATGATAATGTCCCAGATGTGAAAGGAAAAACGATGTTTAATGAAAAAATACATTGGAAGAAGCAGTTGCCAATTCTAGGTATGAGGTTCACCAACCCTCAACAATTAAAAGTTATGATTTGTAATTATGCTGTAGCAAATGGGTATCAATTGTACTTTGAAAAAACGACAATAAAAGGTTATTGGTTAAGTGTAGTACTGGTCAATGCACATTTAGGCTGTGGGCATCATGGATGAGTGAGGAGCACTCATTCCAAATTAAGTCCCTTATCATTAACCACAATTGTGCAAGAAATTTTAAGTTAGGGTCAATTGTTAATTACATATGGATTGGTAGTCATTTCACCAGGAAGTTCTTGAGAATCAGAAATTCAATGTTAGGATGTTAAAAGAGGAAGTAAAGACTAAATTTGGCATAGAGGTTAGTATGGGTCAATGTAGGAGAGCTAAGCAACATGCAATGTCTCTTGTTGAAGGTACCATAGTGGAAAATTATGCAAAGTTGTGTTCCCATGGTGAAGAGATAAAAAGGTCTAATCTAGGGTCAACAGTCAAGTTGTCTGTGAACTCTATGCCAGATGGGAAAACTTACTTTAGCAAGATATATATATATATATATATATATATATATATATATATATATATATGTTTTCATGCACTAAAGGAGGGTTGTAGAAGTGGCTGTAGACGGATAATAAACTTAGATGGTTGTTTTCTTAAAGGAATGTGTACTGGTCAGTTATTATGTGATGTTGGTAGGGATGGTAACAATCATATATACCAATAGCTTGGGCTGTAGTTTGTGTTGAAAATAAAGACAAGTGGAAATGGTTCTTAGAAAACTTGCAAGAAGATCTGCATCTTGAAGGTGGGTTTGGTAACACATTGATGTCAGATCAACATAAGGTATGTTTCTACTTTATAATGCCATACCTAATTTCTTTCAAATGTGATATACTTCTGAATATTATGATGATGTAAATGCAGGGGATAATTGAAGCAGTGAAAGATTTATTTCCAGAGATAGAACATAGGCAATGTGCCAGGAATGTTCTTTCCAATTTCAAGAAGAAATTCCCTGGGGCTCAATATGAGAAATTATTTTGGAAGGCTTGTAAGGCCTCAACTAAACCTCTTTTCAATTCTGCAATGAAAGAGATTCAAATGATTAGCCCTGCTGCTTATGTGCATCTTATGGGAAGGAATCCAAACTCATGGTCAAGAGCATTTTTTCAAATAGGAAGGGGGTGTGATGCAGTTGAGAATGGGTTGTCTGAAAGATTTAACAATGTTATATTGGATGCTAGGAAGAAGCCAATTATTACAATGTTGGAGGATATAGACTATATGTGATGCAGAGTATGTGTAGTGTAAGGCAGAAAGGAAGTGGATGGGGACAATTTGATGTATGTCCAAACATAAGGCTTGCCATAAATGAATTGAAGATCCAACAAAGGTACTTTAATATTCGCCATAAATGAATTGAATATCCAACCAACGTACTTTATTAGCCCTGCTAACTGTGATTATTTGTAGGTACTGACAAGTGCTTCCTAGTGGCCTGAATACATTTGAAACAAGAAACGTAGGAGAGTCTTATGGAGTTGATTTGGAAAAGAAAACATGTACTTGTAGGATTTGGCAAATGAATGGGTATGTGTGTGTACACTCAGTGGCAGCTATTAGTTATGTAAATAGAGATGTAGAGGCATTTGTTGATCCTTTATATCGTTCTTGCATATATATGAACACCTACAAGTACTCAATAGGAAGCATGAATGGGACTGCAATGTGGCCCCCAACAGACTACATACCACCTTTGCCACCATTGAAAAGGAAGATGCCAGGGAGACCCACTATTAAGAGAAAGAGGGACAGTACTGAGGTTAGTGGATCACACAGAGTATCCAAGGCAAGGAAAAAGATGGTCTGTGGTGTTTGTAAGAAATCAGGCCACAATAAGTCAACCTGTGATGCAATGTCAAATCCCGAAAAAAGTCAGGTCAAAAAGAGGAAGGCAGAAGGTGAAGGTGAAACTAGTGCATTAAAGAAAGGGAAGGGTCAAGGGCAAAGGGCAAAGGGGGAAAAAGGAAAGGGTGAAGGTGATACTGGAAGTGGAATTGGTTTCAAAACGGGAGAAGGTGAATGTGGGTCAACAAGTGGTGTGACTAAGAAGAAGGGTAAAGAAGTAGGTACATTGAAATTAAGGAAAAATTTAGAGAGGATACTAAAGAAAAAATTGGCAAAAAAGGTTGTAGGCAAAAACGGTGAAGGTGATACATCAAGCAAACCAATGGACTTGGATTAAAGGTGTTTTGTTTTTGGAGTATGTTAGTTACAATGCAAGGTCTTTATTAAAGGTGTCTTCTTGTTATGGCCTTGTTTAGTTTGTTAACGTGTCTTTAAAACACCAAGTTATGACATTAATGAATGCATGGATGTTTGTTATTCGTTTGAAACATGAATGTTAGTTTCTTTAGTTTAAAACATAACATGAATTTTTGTTTAGTATTCTACTTCCAAGGTAATTCGACATAACAAAGTACTTTCATATAACAAAAGGATAACATGAAATTATGGTACATTTCATTACAAAGCATAACATCATATGCAAAGCAAAACAATGGTTATAATAGGAACTACATTTCATTTCATTCATCCATTACAACTGAGGTTATTGTCTTACCAAAAACCCCCCAAAAATTTGGTTATAAAAACCATTACATCGTCAATGAGCACCACTAGTCAAAATAACCAACAACACATAACCTAATACATACATATAATACTAGTAGATGACGAAATTAGACAAAAAGAAACAACCTTCGACAACCCTGATAACCCAAAAGAGACTAATCGCCATCGTGCTAGCTACGAACTAAACTACACCCACCAAAATCCCCATCCACTGCAGTCGACGCAAACACGAACCTCGATCAACGACATCACTGCAACTCCAACAACACCCATCATGGTCACTTTCCTTTTCAAGTAGCGTATCTCCTCCCTTAACTCGCCAAGCTGTTGTCGCATCTCATCTCTCAATTCCTCAATCTGCACTTGGGTTTCCATGGCGTGAAGTTCGTAATCACTTGGTAAGTCTAGCTCCGAAGCTCTGAAAACATCATAGGAGAAGCTTTGTTCTGAGGCCATCTCCTTCACTTATAGGTGGGAAAAAAACGAAGTCGATGGTATTATGTGAAGGTTACGGATTAGGGTAACAAAGTGGTGGGGAAGACGGATTTATAAGGGGGACCATTAACGATGACTTGGCAATTATTGGGGACCAAGATTACAACAGTAATATTCCACGGTGGTGCCACATGTCACGAAAATATGGGATAAACCTTTTACAATCGGTAAAATGATGTAATTAAACGGTCAAATGAAAGTATATTTCTTTAATGTGCAAAAAAAATAGTTTAGTGACCTTTTAAAAAAAACGGGAAAAGTTTGATTGACTAATATGACATTTGTCATTCTAAAAATGTTTTTTTATAATGGAGGATCCCATTGGACCCATCTTTTGGATGACCCAAATGAAGCAACCTATGTGCTTTTTGTCCACCCGACAGTATATGCATGCAAACCATTCAAAGAACCCACTTGGGAGGCCGGTGGACACCCCATAACTGAAACCTAACGGTGATCGAACCATGGTCATTCGTAGAGATTTTTCCAGCCTTCCACCACTAGGCTATCAAGGTGAAGGTCATTTCTAAAATGTTAGAAGGTTGATGTTGCTGAAAATAGTAATATATCGCTTGTTTATTACTAATTAGTGAAGCCCCATATATGATATTGAGGTAGGGAATTTACGAGATGGTTCTTATCAATTTTATGTTTTGAATTTAGTGGTAGAGAATTTACTTAATAAAATTTTCCAAGTTTTTTTTATGGAGCCTTTCTTTAATTTTCACACAAGACATCCAAAATGTCAGGGTCAAGTCTACGGTGCAAAACTCATAAGAACTTTTTTTTAGAAAAAGAATTTCATTAAAAGACAAGGTAATAGCAAAAAGCTAGCCAAAGAAGCCAAATCAGCTATAAAAGAACTACATCAAACCTAACAAGCTTTTCAGGCATAATTACAGCACCAACCAATCCATTTAAAGCTAGACAACCTCGAACCTATATAGTTCCAACAAAAAATGAAGTTGAATATCTTCTAAAACCATCGGAGTGGAGATGTTTATATTTATGAAGATACTCGAGTTTTTAGCTTTCCATAAGAACCAATAACAGAAAGAGCCACAAGCTCTAAAAGTTTCCCCTTTTATTAGAATGGGAAGAGGTCGCCAACTTATTAATAATCATTGAAGGTTCTCCATCATTTCCAAAACTAAAGCCACCCCATTTAAAAACATCCAAATATCCAAAGCGTAGCCACAGATTCCTCCAAAATAAGAGAAAATATGAGGAGTCCTACCAATCCAAAGATCCCTCTAAAGATCCCTCTAAAATAAGATGTTATAATTATAACCTGTTTTTCTGAAAAAATGATGATTAAGGGACATAAATCTTGGTAAAAATTGTCTCAATTGTGGCGATGTTGCACTAGACACCCGATTTGTAAAAGGAAAAAAACAATATCCAAATGAGACTTCTCAGCTCCACCTCCATGGTCACTTTACTCCTAGCTCCACATTAAGTTTCTTTCATTTTATATATCCACCACCATTTAGGAGGAAAAATGGCGTGGTGAATAGATCTGTGTGGAATTGTTGTCATTTCCACTGCTTGTAGTTGTTTTTTTACTTGCATTCCTTGTACCTTGTCTCCACCTCTAGCAACTTGCTAGGTGTGTTATTTTTGTTTTAATAATATCGCTGGATCCAAAAAAATTTAACCGCCTACAAAATATCGATAGCCTTTAAACTACTAATCACAAAAAAAAAATAATAAATAAATAAACATGCATGTGGCTTTGCATGACGAAGAAATTTTCAAAAAAAAAATTATATATCATACTTCTAAATTCTAGCAAGTGATATACTCTTATCCATCGGTAGCCCCATATAAGTTATTTGGAATAAAGCATGTTCACAATTTGAAATGTCAGTTATATACGAAAGTTTTCAGTGATGAATTTAACAGCCTTACATTTGAAAAATTGAATTTAAATCATGAATCAAATTAAAAACACGTGAGTTTTTATTTATTTATTTATTTATTTATTTATTTTGAACCATTCAAAAAAATTGCTTAATTGCCATTTCTGCATGAAAAATGACATTGTTCGCATACATTAATTGAGAAAGGGTTAGGTGATGCAAAATTAATATAGTAAAGAAAAATATTTTTTTACAAAAACTCTTACTAAAATAAATAGAGAAAACTGTAAAAATAATTCATGTGATATTCATTTTTTCTGAAGTTTAATCCAAACCTCGATTTTTTTGGCTTTATGGTCCTTTTGGCCTAGTTTGTATGTGGTTTTGGTCCCTCCGAAAATTAAAATGAGTATTATACACTTTTATTTTTATTTTTACATTTTTAATATCAAACAAAGTGGTAAAACATGAGAAAGCGTGCATGGAAAATCAACACACGTTTATACCCTTTGCATTTGATACTTTCGGTTTCCTTGCGCCAGAAGCTGTGGAGCTACTCAATAGAGTCTAACGGGTCATGCATAGTAATGTTATGACTCCAAGATCTATAGATGTTATTTTTAAAAGAATTAGTTTTGTCATCCAAAAAGGGGTTGCGACACAGCTTGTTGTTCGTTTACTCGTTACGTCTATATAAAACTTTCTTCTCTATTTTATATAAATAAATGTATAACAAAAAAAATAACTAAAAATATAAAAGAGGGCTCACATATTCTCTCTCTCTCTCTCTCTCTCTCTCTCGCTATCTCTCTCTCTCTCTCTCTCTCTTCCCCCCACCCCACCATTCATTGATTTTCCAGATCAAGAACAAAACACACTTTGATTTTTCCACATTTGTGACGAACTTAAACATGAACATTTGAATTTTCTGCAAGCTTAATCAAGCAAGGTAAACAAGACCAACCAGATGTAACAGACCAAAGATCAACACAACCCTTTGTGAGCCGTCGGAGCCATTGGCCATCATCATCAGTAATCCTCAACTTTCCGGCGAGAAGGGTTTCAAGATATTCAAACAAGATCTTCAGCTCCATCTTCGCCGTCGCCACCACCGATCAATACAACCACCACACCCGAAAGATATGCCCACAACTACCGGTCAACACCGCCACTAGTGTTGAACCTGTTTGAAAACCCGCAAATCTGAAAGCCGTTGTCACTGTGACCTCGTCATCGTTACTAGAGACGAACCAATATCTGAATATTTAGGGTTTTTCCTCTAACACCACTTCCATGTTCTTCCTTTCAAAAAGCTTCTTTCTTCCCTATAAAACAGTTGATCAAACTCAAGCTCAAAGGCAAATTAAGATCGATATATCTAAAAGAATGTTGCTAATAATTGTGGAAAAAGGACTTACAAAAGTAAGATTTTGTAAAATCGGTGTATCTAAAGAGTGGATGTCCACCTCTGGATCTGCTTTTACCCTCTCTCTCTCTTCTCTCCAAACGAATTCTCCAGCTTCCCTTTGTAATTATGTGTCTATATCATCCCGGTACAGATGGTGGCAAAGATGGGTTGTTTATTGACGGTGGTTATGGGTTTTTTTCGGCGAGTACTATGCCTTCTCGGTAAGTTAATGATTTTAGGGCTAGGTGGTGCTCGTATTATGTGCCATTTCACACTCCTACTTCTTGTTGACATTCTTGTCTCGTTGCTTCTTCAATCACAGAAAGGGTTTTGAAATGAATTGAAGAAGGAACAAAAATCAGTATATGTTAAAATCAGTGTTGTAAAAATCGATCTAGGCGGCCGATTAATCGGCACCTAGACGCTTGGAGGTCCCCACCCGCCTACGAATAAGTGTTTGAAGGTTGGCTAGGCGCTTTTGGTCAATAACGGTGAAAGTCGCACCAGATAGATCCAAATAGGACATAATCGGCCAACTCGGACTTTAAATCGGTCCAAATCACTCTAGCCCAAACTAAAGAACTCGCCGGCCCAATGGAGCCAACTAGCCCAAAGCTCAATTGATTTTATTTTTAAAGAAGATAGATGCCCTTTTATAAGGTATTTATGCCTTCTTTTATTTTCCAACCATCGATGTGGGATATGTGCAATACATTTTTTTGTGTGTAAACTTCCCCTGCTACAACCAAGAACACCACTTACTTAGTTGATTATCACCAATTGCCAGCCACCATAAGTGGTTCACCTTCACATCAGAGCAATCAATGTCACCACCTTCATCCGCCA